TTTAAAAAATTCGTTATAAGCTTATAATGAAGTTGATATCCAGATCCTAGAATTCGTTATATCAAGAGTTCACTGTAATAGTATAAATCTAATAAATTATCTGTCAGTCTAATTTTTTAAACAAAAAAGAAAATATTAATAGAATTCAAATTATTGATTACTATTTACTTTAATAAATATGATAAATGTAAATATAAGTTAATATGACAAACTATGTTTTCAGATTTTTTTTGTAAAATTATTTTAATAAAATAGTAATAATAAAAATAAAAGATATAGCTTTAGATTACAAAATATTTTAAAAAAATTGTCTAAAATAAGATGAATAATCTTTTAATATGTTTAATCAGATTATAATAAGATAATGCTAGAATTATCAAAGTTTAAATGAATTAATAAGCAAAATATGTAATTAAACAATTAAAGATTAAAATTTTTTAAATGATATTAATAATTTTATTGAAAATACAAAAGTATATAAAAGTAAATATGAGAATGTTTCCAGTAAAATCAAGTCATGAGGCATAGTAATCATATGATCTGTAATATGATTTTACTGGAAATACTTTTATATAATAAAAAACAAAATATAACTATCTAATTAATAAAACTAAGTATAAGTATCTTTATAATGACATTTTAAGTTGACCTATTATCATTTTTCCTTTCATAGAACCAAAAAAATTAAGCTAATGACTAATTATATTATTGAGGAAAAATATTAAAAAATCCAAAATAAAAAGGATAACACGTGATTTCCCACAAAAATTTTCAACCCACGTGACTTTAATAATTCAGACCTTATTTTTCACATGGTCAATTTCTATAATGCCGGCTAAAAATCAGTGGGAGAGAAATTTTTTTGTGGTAATACTGGGAAAAATAATTATTGTAACAATCAGCTTATATTTTATTGAAATCGATCGAAGCTTGTTTATGAACGATCTAAAATATAATTAATCAATCAATTTCCGTTTTATTGTTTTATTGCAAAAAGGAAAGTTATAAGCCACAATAAGAAAATCGCATATTTACGAAAGGGTTTAATTTCGAGTTTATTTTAAATGATTCGCCCTTTTTTTCTTTTTCGATAAGTTTATAAATAGCTAAGCCATTTTTAAATATTGCATCTAATTCCCAATTAGTTTTTTTTTTTTTTTTTGCCACATTTGTGGTAGTTTTTTCTTACAACAATATGAATAATATGAAAGTTTTACAGATTTTTCAGATAAAAAAAAATTCAGCCAATACGCTAAAAATAGGAAAATTTTTTTATTATATTTCTTATTTAATAAAATAGTTCCCTTAGTAGCACAGCAATGAAAGCTATAAAAAGCAACTTGATTTTTTTATTTACTTTCTTTCAGACATCCGTTTCTTTAACACCGCCGCAATCGCTAATTATAAGTTTTTTTTTTAATTTAAAAAGAAATTTTATAATTGTTAAAAATAAGGATATTAACGATGTAAGTTTTGCTTTCTAACTATAAAAAAGAATTTGTTTTCTTCGTATTAAGCTAATTTATTTATGCTGAAATAATATAGGTCCTCAGAAAAAGAACTTTATGATCCTCATGGACAAAGAGTACCTTCTCCAGCCCATCCAGAAATGACTGGAATTCCTCCTAGAGAGGGGGGTCAAACCAAGATTCAAATAATACAACAGCAAGTTGATAGTACAAAGGGTGAAATTCAAAAAACTATTCAGGAAATTGCTGGTAGAGGGAAAAAATTAGAAGAATTAGAGGAACAAACAGGTATGTGACATCCATAAAGTTTGATTTCATAATTTAGAATTAAAAAAAAATTTTTTATTATATCTATAGCCATGTTGTCGGATTCCGCTACGAAGTTTAAGGCTCAATCCACAAAAGTTCGTAAGACGATGTGGTGGAAGAATACCAAAATGACAATTATTATTACTGTCACCATACTTCTTATCTTGGCTGCTATCATCAGTAAGTTCAACGTTTATAATAATTTGATTCGTTGATCGTAACTAACATTTCTTTTTTTTTTGTTTGGAAATCAAAGCTCCAATTGTTCTTAAATTTCAGGGCAAGATCTAGCTGAATTTCCAAATGGAAAAGGAATCGATAAAAGCCAATGAGATAGAATGAAACTGTAAAAATTATTTATTTATTTGTATATAATAATTTTTGATTTGTCCAATTATTTTATTCATTACTCCTCACATAATCTAACCACGCGAAGAGTCAATTTAATGATCCGTTAATTCGTTTAATTTGATAGAAATTTTTGACCTTTTTTTATTATTATTTTATTGAAATTCATTTATAAATAAATGCCATTAATATGCAAAGAAAAAAAAGGAACATTTGACGAAACAAATTAAATTTTGAGATTTTTTAAAAAGGGGACGAATTCCATTGGAGAGGGCACGAGTGTTTAGACGGTATATTTCATACATCTCGTTTCTTCATGAGTTTCCTTGCATCTTAAACTACAATATTTCATTCCGCATTTTTTACAAGCATAAGCTGAAATAAATCCACAAACCGAACAGAATTTTCTTGGAGGAAATCTGGATGGTTTAGCACCAGCTGTTAAATATGTTGGAATATCTGGTGGTTTTTCCGCAATTTTCTATTAAAGGTTTTTAATTAGTGTATGATGATAAAATAAATATAATTTAAAAATCATAATAAATATTACCGATTCATCTAATAAGGCTTTAAAACTTCTTTTGGATATTGATTTTATATGTTGATTTTTGGTTCGTTTGGATTTCCTATCTATAGATAAGAACCAAATGAATACTTGTTTTTTTACAATCGGAGAAATGTGATAACTTACGTTGACTTGTATCAGCTAAATCAGAAAACCGACGAGGTTTTGAGATAGTTCCTGTTACAATTTCAAGTTCCGGTATTTCTTGATAATTGTCCCTTTCTAACTCATTTAAATGAATTTCTATATTTTTTCTTCGCGTCGTTTCATCAATTTCTAAAGTTTTAAAAAATTGATAAAAGAAAATGGGAGAAAAGTGGTCGAAATGAGGAAATGCTGTACCTTTTTGTTCTTTTTTTGACATTTGAAGTTCTAAAGTTTGTCCAAAAAATATCACTAGTTTAAATTAACACGTTATATTTTATCTGCTTACAGAATTTTACAGAATTCCATGGAAGATTGGAATCATGAAAATCCAGATTATCATTTTTTTGCACGCTTTGTATTTCGAGAATATATTTTGTTTTAATTTGAAGAGCGAAACGCGAATTGAAGGAATATGTGGTCGCCTACAGTAATTAAACGCGTAATGGGAAAACAACGAGTAAGCCTTAATGACATGAAAGTTGCTAGTAAGTATCTTAAATTGAAATGTTATTAACGAATTTACTTATTCTAAGAAAAATTTTGTCGGTTATACGACTCAGTTGAAGCCGTAAAAATATTAAAGGTTCCAAATGACTCAACGATAGTTGAAATATCTCCCGGTAAAATTTCATTCAACCTTCTTAAATTTCGTAAATTTAATTTTAAAACTTTTGATCTGATTCGATCTCAAAATAATTAATAGGCGTGGGTTTCTTAACACATGCGCTTTTACATAGTACCAATGCTCGAAAAATCATCGCATTAGAAAATGATAAAAAATATGTAAATGAATTATCAACGTTAGTAAAAGAATCAGATGGTAGATTAGAAATTTTAAATATTGATGTCTATAAATGGGATACTTATGATCATATAAAAAGTCATTTAAGTCATATAAAAATTCATCCCTGGGAAGAAGGTAAAAAATTTTTTTTTTTAAAAAAAAAAAACCTTTCTGCTAAATTAAAAACATTAAATTTTTTTTATTTTTTTTTAGTACATCCTAATTTAATTTCGTTAATTCATTTACCTAATACATCAAGAGGAGAAATTTCAATAAATAAATTATTATCAAATTGTTATAATAAAAGTGGTCTCCATTCATTTGGTAGATCTCGCATGAATTTCTTCGCGCCAGAAAAAGCTGCTGAGGTATATTTTGTCTTAAAACCGTGTGATATCGACTATATGTTCGTTATTCATTGTTAAATTATTAATTTAGAAAATATTGGCGAAGGAGGGTGAATTACAAAGACATAAATTAAAAATTGAATTGGAAGCTATAGCGGACATTGAAGTGTTAAAAATTTTTCCCGAAAAAGCCTTTTATCCGAACGTGAATATTTTTTGATTTTTATTTTTAAAAAATTTTTTTTTTTTATTGCAATTGAATTATCATGAAAATTAAGAATGAATTGTTTAAATCTTAATGCAGATTCAATGCGCGCTATTTGGAGTGACACCACTTGTTGAACCAAGACTACAAGGTAGGTTTTAAATTCTTTTTCTCATAAATAAAAAATTTCATGAATGTGATGTTAATAAATTTTGCATGATTATCAGGCTCATGGCTTACATTCGAATTTGTAATAAAAACTTTAATGTCAAGGAAAAATGCTAAAGTAATCGAGATGTTAAGGTAATTTTAATAATAATACTGTTACTTTATTTAATAATCCCCATCCTCATTAAATCTTTGGCTTTTTGAATCATATTAAATAGTACGTTGGGAGCTGGTGCAAATACAATAGCAAAAGATCTATCATTCGATCTAAATATGCCAGTTAGAAATATGACGGCAGAAAATTATAGTGAACTTTCAATTATATTTGACAAATGGCCATTTAAACCTGATTATATTGATGATATATATATACCTCCTCCAAAACATAAGAAAAGGTGGTAAAAGGAAAAATAAAATAATAAAGTCTATTTAATAATTTTATCCTCTTCTGCTAAAATTTTCACGCGTTAATAAATAAATAATTTAAAAAAAAATATATAAAATATTTTATAAATTAAATAATAAAACGTGAATTCAATTAAATGGCGAACCTTTTTTTATATATATATATATATATATATTCTTCTTCCTCTTTGCATTATCCTTTAATCAACTTCACTTTCATTTACTATGATTCCAGGATCCAATCTCTTATGTGCTGACTTTTTAACTTTATCCTCATTAATAAACCAAAGATACAATTCTCTATCCGCTGGTAATTTGGTAAGTTGAGGATCCCTCGATACCTTTTTATAAATTAATTTTGAATTTTGCATTTGAAGTAATACTTTTTGTTTTAAATATTTATGAGATTTTAGTTGTTGATATTTTGTTATATTTGAAAATAATTGTTTTGATGTCTGTGGTCCTTCTTTTGTTAATAATTCAAGTACTATCTTATAAGGTTCAAGTCCCATTTTTAATTTAAAGAAAGTCTGGTTTTTTGGAAACGCAGAGAAATTTTTTTTATCAAATCAATGGGTGTGTTCACAAATTCAATCAGATTGGATTGGATTATCTTATAATTGGATTGGATAATATATTTTTGTATCACATGGGGTGTGAGCTAGGAAAATGACCTTCTGAGATTAATTTACCATTTTGAGTAAATGATAAACAAAGCTTTTTG